AGCTTCAGGTCTTTTGTTCATAGGGTTATTATGAGTTGTGCTCAACTTGAAGGCAATCAGCAACAACAACATATTATTCTCTGAATAATAATAGTGAAGACTGAACATTTTTCAAAATCTAAAATAAAAATAATAAACAATCTTACAAATGAAAAACTCTTACATAGTTCCAGGCACCTAAACACAGCTAAATGATGGTGATTCATGCTGGTTGACAGAGATGTCTACTTAGAATACACCCCAGAACTCAACCTCATTAATGTTGAGTCAAAACCAACTCAAAGCTGATCTTCCAACAGGTTTTTTAGAGACTATAAATTGCACAGGAGGAGACTGGCCATCGCTCACCTGGAGAGCACTGGCAAATTTGAATAGCCTGACTTTTGGATTGGCACTATAGCTCCTTGCCTGCTATACCAAACCTCAGGGGACAGGAAAAAGAAAGCAATATCTTGTTTTCCAGAAACAGGCTTGCCTTCCTTCAGATGCCATATCGGTATAAAATAATAATAGTGATTGTGGCAGTGAATCAGAGTATTGCATTTGAAATGAAATTTAATTAGAATTATAATTAGAATTCAATTCCCAGATTTATAAATTTATTGGTAAGTGACAGTGTTTTACATTTTCTTTCAGTTCATGTAAAGAATCAAACTTATAAGGACTATATGTCCTATCGTATTTATTCTTTAGCATCAGTTTCTCTCTTTTTTTTATTTAAATTATGGTGTTTTCATTTGACAAGACTAGTTCATCTATGGACCATAATAAACCACTTTAAAACAGCAGTTTTCATTTACATCATATAAAGCTGTGAAACTAAAAATAATTCCTTCTAATGAGCTGTTATCCATGAAATCCATTTCACTTCATGTTATGTGGTAAAATTGATTGATGTATGCTCTGAGAAGAATCTGAAATTAGATTCCACTCCTTTATGATCCATTTTTCAGTCTTAAACAAGTTTCACAACGGGAAAATATTTGTGAGCAGAGAAATCAAATTCAGGAGGAATCTTAGATTCCTTTTTATGTCCTCCTGCAAGTAACTTCATAACCACAAAGTTGGGTTTGGCCACCTTTAATATTCTATTGACCTCAAGGTCTGGATTTGGCATATTTTCCAGTATCATTTTTGCCTGCTGAAAGTGCTTGCTGGCTGCCATATATAGCTCTGGAGGCTGAGGAGGAGGACTGTATTTATTGAGGTCAGACATTTCCTTGAATTGTAGATAGTACACAGGTGGTGGTGTCATTACACTGTTGAAAGGAGCAAACCTGTGTTCATATCGAACTTGTTCACTATCAAGCTCAAACTTGGGTTTCCGAACTTTGCCATCCATGTCAAACGCTACCATAGTCTTAAACATTCCAGCACACATATTCTGGTATGCCTGGCTCATTGTGATCTCTCGGCTCAATGGGCGAACTTTCTTCTTTTTCTTTGTTTTTTTACTGCTACGACCTTTCTGTTGCTCTTCCATTATCCTTTCCTCTGCCATTTGAGAGCCATCAGCATGAGTCAGTGTTGACATCAACCAGGCATATAGGAATTCTGAGAGATACCAATATATGTAGTAGTACTCATGCATGCTGTAGAGTTCCAATTCAAAGCCACTTAGAAGATACTGTATCATAATGCGAAGGTTATGGTAAAGGATCCAGGTACCTAAACAGGCCAAATGTTGTCTTTGAGGGTCTTGTTTTAACAGCATAGTGTGGAGTGCTGCATCAACTTTTTCTGCCTCATCTTGTAAAGTAGCAAATTCCTCAAGAATGTGACCAAGTTTATCTCTCTGTCGAGCCCTGTTATGTCCATGGATTTGAATAAGACTACAGAATGGCTGAACACAATGAGTGACAAAGGAGTCGATGCAATCCTTGGCCTGGTGATTATTATAAAGGCAGCATTTGGGAGAAAGCACCGGAGGGCTGACAAAAGACCGAAGTGCATCTTTCACCATGTCTTGCATGAGATGGGTTCCAAAGACCTTTGTGTTATCCACTAGGAAAGTGGTTTGTAGCAGAGATCTTGAAAGAACACAGGGTGATTGTTCACTAAACTCACAGAAGAAATCCAGAATACAATGTAAATTTGTTAAATTGACAACCTCGCAGACTGTTTTTATTCTATCTATTAGTCTTGCAAAATAAGTGACCATTTCTTCCCTTTTAATTATTTTTGCATATGGAGGAAATGTAGGTGGAAGTAGCCTCTGGTTAACAAGGGGCTCAAACCCCATCATAATTGGATGATCTCCTTTTGTGGTATAATTCTGGGCTTGGATGCCATGATGCAATGAATTATGAATGGCAGAGAGAAGATCTGCTGCTTGAACCATCAATTTTTGAGCTTCTGCAACAGCACTGGTCTCTTTTTTAGTAAAGGCTATAAGTACTGTCAATAATACTCGAGTAAATTTCACTCTGCTGAATACGGCTAAACACTGTTGATGCTCGAGTTCAACTTCTGGGTCTCTTTCTTCTCCTTGTCGACTTCGAGTACTCTTTACTCTTCTTTGCATGTCATCTTCCACAACTTTTAGCATACCTGTAACTCGAACGTCTGTGACATTATTAGCCATTTTAAATCCGTAAGTCATTGACTGAAAATCTTCCTCTTCAAAAACAGCAGCTTTGTTTACTTTTTCCCTCGCAATATCACATATTTTTAAGATTCCCAGAGCAAAGGCTTTCATGGCAGGATCTTCTATAAAGTCTGGATTATGAATATAAAGGCACGTAAATACGGTTTGTGCCAAGGAATGTCCTTCTAACCATGTGATCAAACAACAAAAACATGTATCCATTACCCCTATCAATTCAGGCAAGGTAAGTTCTTTAATTTTAATGGTGTCATCCTTGATAGCTTGTTCAAAATTGAGAACTTTTCGATTAACCTGATTTCCAATCATGCCAGCATCCATCTTGGGATCCATCATTTCAATAGCAGACATGGCTTCAAAAAGACCAAATAGCTTATCATGAAGCACTTCTCCCAATTTTAATTCTCGACAGGCATCTTCAAAATCTCGGGTTATGTCCACCCAGTTTGTATTGCCTTTTTCCATTTTCTCCGGTATACTGAGTTCCCATCCTGAATCATCATCTGCCACAGAAGTTTTCATAACCATGATGTCTACTTCTTCTGTGCCCCACAAGCCGCGGTGCAGAATCCCGACCTCGGAAATAACGATGTCTCCCCAGTTGCTCCCGTCACTCCCTTCAGCCCGGTAAGGCCAGCCACAGACGCATGCGCACGCCCGGTGTACAACCTCGCCCTTTCTTTAGCATCAGTTTCTCTTAAAGCTGTATCAACCCATTCTGTCTTGCCACTGGAAAAGTTGATTCTCTACTATACTGGCTTATTTCCTGTTGAAAGGCCATAAAGGGGGGGGGGAAGTCATTCACTACTTGATGTTTATCTCATTTTAACTATTTTCATATTTCTCAACAGCAAAGACAAACAAAACTTTGGAACATTATTTAAATAATTCATAAGTTTTTACTCATTTGAGTGAAAAATAAATTTAGATTGAATTCTGTTGCAAGAAAGAAAATACTGACTTTTGATACTAAATGTAAGTTGTACACAATGAGTTGTTATCAATTCAATATGACATAATCTGGACCAGGAGACTATGCATCATGAACTATGAACTTAAGTTAAAGTGGAGTCACGCAGAGATGAATAATTGAATTGAATTTGTCTTTGACAAGCTTATTTTCCACTATTATTAAGATCATTATACACTCTATGCTGAGTCACTTCTGACTCAATGGCACCTAACAAAAAAACATCATAACTTTAAGGATAGGGAAGAGAAGTATTAAAAAAAATAGCTTTAGGTAATGTTAATGTTTTTTTCCTGGAAAATTATTAGGTCTATTAAGAAACTCTTGAAATTTAAGTCCGGTGTGGAGAATACTTGGTTGTAGTTGCTTGGATAATTTTCCTTTGATGAAACACAGTTTTGGAACTCCAATGGACTTCTCTTCATTACCTGAAGACCTTTATTCTGAATCCCTCAATGCTGCTAAAAGAGTGTTTTCCATTTTGGAAAACAATCAAAGTGCCATATAATTCAAGGCCAAAAAACAGTGCAGTTGTAAGGCAAAGATCAAAACTACAAGTACCTATGAGGCTCTGGCAGGAAGGAAGCAGGCCATTTACTTGATGCAATTGTGGGAGGAGTGCAGCTCAGAGAGCAGTGGACTTCTCACAACCAGGCACTTCACCTCTTCATTTCATTATTGGCATATGAGATGGAGATGCAAAGCTGGCACCAAGAAAATGTTTTTGAAAGTTCATTGTCACATGCTAGTTTTTGTTGCTGCCTAGAAAACTACCACAAACTTAGAAGTTTAAGATAATCTTATAAGACATCCGAGAGCTAGACAATCAATAAAGATCATAGAAGAAGGATCAGTGCCTTTCTGCTGTGGTATTGGAGAAGAGTATTGAACATGCCATGGGCTGCCAAGTGAGTAAGCAGGTTTGCCATAGAGAGGGTGAAATGAAGTTCCTCAATGAAGACAAAGATTTTGAAACTTTGTTGTATACTTCGGGCATATTGTCAGAAGGGGCTAATTCGTGGAGAAAGACATCAAGCTTGGAAGGGTAGAAGGTCAGCACGAGAGGAAAACCCTGGAGGAGATGGATTGACACAGTGACTGTGGCACGGGGGTAAGGTTGGATCAGGGTAGGGCAAGATGCAGAACTGTTGTTCATAAGGTTTCTGTGTCTTAGACAACTAGACAGACATAAGAACAACAAACATCAAAATGCCCTACCCTTTGTGGGTCAGGAGACACGGGTTAGTTGTTGTGTACCATCAAGTCAGAAGTGACTCAGAATTAACCCTCCAGCAGGTGTTCAAAGATTGTAAATCACACTAGAGGAGATTACTCATCATTCTTTTTTGGAGCGCTGGGTGAATTCAAACCATGTGCCTTTGGGTTTGCAGCACTACTCCATACCACTTGGCCACCACAGCCTTTGGACACTCACTCAGTGTCACAAAACCAAATCCTAATCAATTGGCTTTTCATTGATTCTGATTCAAAGTAGCCCTACAGTAAGAGCAGAACTGTTCCATAAGATTCCCAAGGCTGGTGAATCTTCACAGAAGCAGATTACCGCATTTTTCTGTCTTGCTGTGGCTATTTAGTTAAACATTTGATCTTTTTGTTAGCAGTCAAGTACTTAATCACAGTATTACCAGAGTTCCTTATTTTAAGGTCTCACTTAAAATGAAGATATCTACCAAGGGTGCACTCTTTTTTTTTTTATTAATGATTTTTAAATATATATATACACCTCAACGTATTCTTTCCATTTTAGTTCCCTCCCCCCATTCATTCATTGGTGCACATTTTCCTCCCTGTCCACCTGCCCACCCCACCTCCTCAGTTCATTTTTCTCTTTGACTAAAGAAAAAAAAATATTTCCTTTTTATACAATCCCACCCACCCACGCAGGTCCACAGTCCACTTTAATATGCATTTCTTTTTCTACACTCTTATCTGATAACCTGAGTCCTCTTCCAGACTCACTGGTAATCAGAATTCACTTCCCGGCTCAGGCCCGACTTGCTTATTGGCAGTTGGCTAGGGGTAATTCTCAACATCTAGAGGCCTCTTAGAGTTTGCTGCCACATGGTTTTCTTTACAACATGTCCATGTATGCCTTCAAGGACAGCCTGAGAGCAGCTGAAGTAGCTTGGAGTCTCCCTGGCATCTTTCTCTGACTTTTAGGCCTAGATTTAACAGGCCCACTTGAATAGGCCTCACTCATTTAACATATCCTCTCTTTTGATTTACTCAAAGTTGATTACAGACCTTAATTACATTTTTCAGTATAGCATAACTAATTGCAAGAATGATATGTCATCATAATCATTCTCAAGGTGAGAAGAAAATACAGGTCATATACACTAACCTGTGGGGGTCTTGGAGTTGCATTGGACTTCATCCTACTACAAATGACTCTATTTAAAAAAACATCTTACCTGAACAACAATCATGTATATACCATTGACCTTGAGGTCCCAAGGCAAAAATTTGTACTATTTAACCTGGCCCTAAAAGTAGATAAAAAAGACTGAAGACTATTTCAAGAATACTATAGAATTAGAGAGAGTATGCTTAGACTCCCAACAGAATTAATATATAAGGAATAACAATTTTACCTGCTGATAAGTTTGCTTTTAAGAGTGTATCAGTTTTAAAAATAATTTTGGTAGAGTTTAATTGTAAAAACCATTGAAATGTCCACTATTTCATTGTTATTGAGTGAAATAATTTAGCCAGGTGGCACAGCAATCGTGATTTAATAGTGACATTAAACTACAAACACTCCCACATACAGAGCTACCAAATATACATGTGTGTATTTATGGAATGTGTACAATTACTTGGGTGTGTGAATGTTTGTGTCCATGTGGAAAAAAGGAGATGTAAAGACTGGACTAATAAATCGAGTTTAGAGAAGGAGCAGAGTGATTCATCACTGCAGTGGTGAAAACTTTTTTTTTTTGTTTTTCTGTTTGTTTTTTTTTTAAATTTAGGTTGTTTATTTTTCATTTCAATGAATATCTACAGATATTTTGGGATTCCATTCATTCACTGTTGCACCCTTCTCCCCGCACAAACCCCTCCCCCCCCCATTTGCTCCTCTCCTTGAAAAGCAAAAGAAAAACTCCCTCATTGGTACACAATACACCCCCGCACTTCCCCAAACCCCACCCCCTACCCCCAAATATAATCCACTTTGCAACCCTCATTGCATACTCCTACAATATAAATAATGCCCTAAAATATAATACTTTTAGACTATTCTCTCCCCCATAGACTTCAATGCCGTAAACATATTTCATCCAGTTTTTCTCAGTCTTACCCCCACCCCAATGCCAGCCTCATTCTACAACAGTGGCACCATATAGCATTTGTCCCTTTGTGACTGAGATAACCTCACTCAGCATAATGTCCTCCAGATTCACCCATTTTGAATAATATTGCATGAATTCCTTGTTTTTCAATGCAGCATAGTATTCCATTGTGCGAATATACCATAGCTTCTCTACCCATTCATTTGTTGATGGGCATTTAGGTTGTTTCCAACTCCTTGCTATTGTAAACAAACCTGCAATAAACATGGGTATACATATATCTACTTGGATGTCATTTATGGTCTCTTTAGGGTATATTCCTAGTAGTGGAATTGCTGGGTCCAATGGTATCTTTATTTGCAACTTTTTGAGAAAGCGCCACAATGCTTTCCACAGTGGTTGCACCATTTTACACTCCCACCAACAGTGAATCAGGGTTCCAGTCTCTCCATTACAAAAGAAAAAATTGAAAAGGTAATAAAACAGCTTCCAACCAAAAAAAGTCCTGGACCAGACGGATTTACAAGCGAATTTTATCAGGCATTTAGAGAAGAACTGTCACCAATTCTATATAAACTATTTCAAAAAATAGAACAAGATGGAACACTCCCAGACTCATTCTATGAAGCAAACATATCCTTGATACCAAAGCCAGGAAAGGACACCACCAAAATAGAAAACTATAGGCCAATATCTCTTATGAACATAGATGCAAAAATCTTGAATAAAATATTGGCCAATAGAATACAACGATACATCAAAGAAATAATCCATCACGACCAAGTGGGATTCATAACAGGCATGCAAGGATGGTTCAATATAAGAAAAACAACTAATGTAATTCATCATATTAACAAAGCAAAGAACAAGAACCACATGATCCTATCAATTGATGCAGAAAAGGGCTTTGACAAAATCCAACACCCTTTCCTGATTAAAATACTCAACAAAATAGGACTAGAGGGAAATTTCTTCAATATAGTGAAAAGTATTTATGAAAACCTGAGAGCTAACATTATTCTCAATGGAGAGAGGTTAGAGGCATTCCCTTTAAGAACAGGAACTAGGCAAGGATGCCCATTATCTCCTCTCTTATTCAATATTGTATTGGAAGTCTTAGCGATAGCAATAAGACAAGATAAAGACATTAGAGGTATGCAAATTGGCAAAGAGGAAGTAAAATTATCCCTTTATGCAGATGACATGATAGTATGCTTAGAAAACCCTAAAGACTCAGCAAGAAAA